TGGGTTACAGTAAGCACCCCAAATCTCTCTCAAATTTGCTTTCGCCCCTGCAAATTTACATTTGTTTTATGTTTTCGTAATTACAAATTGTGTCTTGCAATCCCGTTTGTTTCTGGTCGAAAGGTTTGAATTTTAAGTATAAAAATGGAGGGTTAATGACTGAATAAGAAGTTGGGAACTTAGGAGTAAGCTTTTTCTTCTCTGCTAGATTTGGGTGAAAAGAACATTGTACTTTAATTAGCACTTTACTTGGTATACAAGTTCCGTTTCGTTTCTCTTTCGTAAAATTATTAAGTATGTTGTATCGATGTTGGTATAAAGTTGTTTACTTGGTTGGACCGACCAACTACCAAGGTTGTGGGAGGAGAGGTTTCAGATTAAGAAATGGGTCCTTGTTGTTTAGGATAGGGGGTGTGCTAAGAAAATCAAATTTGCGCAGAAGGTTATAGGTTTGTGTGACCTATTGTTCTCGAAAATGCGGTGTTAGTGAGGCATGTTTGTTTGCTAATTTATTCATTCTGGTTATGTAAGAATAGAGGTGGATGTTGCCAATGGGCGAACGCTTGTTGGCTTTCTTCTCGATGCTAATGTGATTGCTTCTCTTTCTCTTTTCCTTCCAAGCTTTGTTTTTAGTCTTGATAGGTGTATAAATAGCTATCTGATTTTGATTTGATTGCAGTTATGGGAAAGGTTGAGGGGCAAGGTGAGTCATGGCATGGTCATGTAACTGCAGTAACCGTTTCCCCAGAATATCGCAGGCAGCAACTGGCCAAGAAGCTCATGAACTTGCTTGAAGAATTCAGCGATAAGATGTAAGAGGGGCATACCTTGATTAAGATTAACTTTCAGTTCACATGTCAATTGTTTTCTTTGTATGAAGTAGAAACTTGGGCATCTTCTTGCACAAATCATTATTTTGCAAATTGCAATAATGGAAAACCTGATCATAGTTTTTCTTGACACGCTCAGACATGTTGATAGGTGAAATGATCCTATGACTATTCTGACGCCTTTTTTTTTGTCATGTTATTCTATCTTATCGAAGTGAGCATTGAATTCTCCACCATCTTTTGAGTCTCTTGTGAGTAGCATTTCGTCTTCTGAATCAGTTTTTAGGTTGAGAGCAATATGAAGTGTTACCGGGTTGTGTAATTTTTCAGTCTTTTTCATATATGCCTCAGCTCTTTAACGAGAAGTTTCTTTTGGCAGTGATAAGGGTTACTTTGTTGATCTTTTTGTGAGAGCATCTAACACCCCTGCCATAAAGATGTATGAAAAGGTAATGTTTCATTAACTGAAGAGATGGTTTGCATTGCATTGTCAACCAAAATTGAAATGAGCGGAAAGTAGGTTCCCTGTATTTCTAGCATATTTTCCTTTTTTACTATTTCGTTAGAAGGATCTTGTTTGTTGTATAGATTTGAAAATAATTCCTTGAACATCAATATAAGAATGGGAACCTTTTGAGAACTCCATGTGGAACATAAGTATATGATTCGGGGGTTCTATGTGAGTTTTGTGGGAGCCAGACATAGATTGACTTGGATATTTCTGGAATTTCCATTGGGACAAGCGATGCTCATTATCTATTTTGTTTTCTGCTTTTATTTTTTCCCACAGCTTGGTTATGTAATCTATAGACGAGTGCTACGGTACTATTCAGGGGATGAAGATGGGTTAGGTGAGTTGCCCCCATCCAAATTACAATGCTCGTAACTTCTTTATGTTAAACTGTGTGGCCTGTCACCTTTCTATTGTGGTTGTGCCTGTTTCAGATATGAGGAAAGCATTATCTCGAGACGTTGAAAAGAAGTCAATCATTCCCCTCAAACGCCCAGTTACTCCTGACGAATTAGAGTATGACTAAATCTGGTTTCTCCTGCTAAGTGTTATGATGATGATGCTGCATTACATTGTGCTTATGGTTTTTTGTGAAACTGAGGATCCCAGTGTGTGATTTGGATGAATATTACACTAAAGCGTAGCGGATTTGTTAATGGGGTAATTCTATTTAAAGGGCTTGTTCTCAGAATCCTCACATCCCAATGGCCCATTTCAGGTAGACGGGCCATGGGTCCACTCTAACAACACTGATACTATTCCTACTTGGCCACCTACTCAATCCATCCGGTGTGGAGTTTTTAATACAAAAGGCCTTGGTATTAGTTTGAGTGGGGTAATTCTATTTAAAGGGCTTGTTCTCAAGCTCTGTGGCTGATGTGGGACAGAGGAATTCTAACAGGGTGATTGCACAAGCATGACCATGTGGCCTCCCTACCGAAGATTATCTTGTGTATTAGCGGTTTCAAAACCTCTGAAGCATCTCATTTATAAAAAAAATTCTCCAAATTTAACTCAGAAAAGAGAAGGTAAAAAAATCTCCAAATTTGGGTTCGATGTATAGAAAATTGATTTCATTCGATTAGGCGGAAGTCCATCGAGATGATTGGGAAGTGGGCTGCTGCAACTGAAATGTTGAGATCCAGTCCAAATGAGTTGCCCGTAAATCTTGTTTACTTGGCACTTTTTACCTTTTAGGAAACCTCGCCTAAGCTAAATGGGTTAAATGTTAATATCTCCTACGGTCCTACCAAAACGCCTAAAATCCCTTTTCATTTGACTTTCGTGGAAGAAAAGTACCTTTACTTAATAGCTTTTATTTCATAACCTAGACTCATATTTATCCACTTTCGGCAATACGAATCGTAATCGATGGTGAGAAAAAGAAGATGAAATTGCTTGTGATCGAAAGCTAGGCAGGAACAAGTTGATAGGATCCCCAGAGAAATTCTTTTGTTTGGCAAGTGGAACATGTTATATGTCTGGCCATACACACGAGAAATTTTTAATTGTGACGGGAACACGAGTGGTACATCATAGTGTTTTTATACAAGTAGTGGGAAATTTAATTTTCTAAGTTATTAACTTTTCAACACACATATCCCACCATTTGTATAATGACACGTGATGTACCATCTCGTGTGCCGGTTACATTGAAAAATCTCTCCATACACACAAATAGAGAGCCCGCTTTATATTGAGAGAGATTTTTCAGTGTGACCGTCACACGAGAGGTACATCATGTGTCCTCATATAAATGATAGGATATGTGTGTTAAAAGGTTAATAACTTAAAAATTAAAATTTTTCATTACTTATATAAAAATACGTGGTATACCATCCGTATTTTCAGCATAACTAAAAATTTTACCTATATTGAGGTCCTAATAGCCTCTATGTTGGTCCCACTCTAGATGCAAGGGATATTGTAGAGTGGCCGGACAGGTCACGCGGTCCACGCGTCAGACCCATGAATACCATATCTCGCTCTTAGGGTGGGGGGCCTAAGAAAGGAAGAGAGAAATGGGACTTCTTTATATTGTCATATTTGGCTAAGGGTGTGCAGTGCACCCACCATGTTGCGGGAGGTGGGCGGAAATGACATGTTTGCCGCTTGCGCAACAAAGAAGCAACAGAAGATATGCCTCACGTGCCCTCGTCATGATCCAAAATGAACCAAACATCAAAAGCCACAAAGCAAGATATGGGGGATTTTTGGGGTGGTGAAGCACTTTTGCCAAACTGGGTTAATCTCCAAAAGCATGGTCATATTGCTTTTGGCGTCTCATGCTTCTGATACTCAAAATCTTCCTCCTGCTTTTTTTTTTTTCCCATTCAAAGCTCTTATAGCCCATTGTCATTGTCTGTCGTGGCCCTCAGATCAGATCACACTTCCACGGTTCCACTACATGCACACCCACCATCCAATCTCGTCACGTGCTTTTTTGGATTAAGATAAAAAAAAAAAAAGGGGAGTACTTTTTAAGGACTCCATTCCATGATTGAACTCAACCACGGAGGGACATCATGATGCCAACCATCTATGCTCTCTCTAGTCTCTATACCTAATGTCTTTGCTTTGGTAGACCCTTCTTGCCTTTACATTCATGGGACCTCACTTCTTGATGTGATATTGACTGCCATTTAGGAGAGATTATACCTTACAATCGGAATCATGGATAAGTAGCTTTGCGTTATAATATGTTATTTAGCGGAGAATTTGCTCTACACGTATGTCTACAGCACTCGTTATGTGCATTACCTCTTTAGATAATAGATCTTAAGATGTGAGATGTGAGGATTCGGTGAATTTCCACCATTGGGTGAAGGCCAATCCAGGAACTTTTTCATGGGTTATGTATGCAAATATTGTCCGCCATTGTTAATATTCTTACACGTAGTAGGAAACCATTAAACCAACAGGTATGAAAGATATCAAACTCCTTACAGAACTAACTATTTGTCCAGTAACCACATTTGTGCAAACCACCGTATATATGATCCTCACTGAGATTGGCCGCTTCGAAAAATTAGCAAAAAATGCTATCAGCTTTAGGTGTTCATGCTAACATATATGTTGAAAATTCTTCAGTTCTTCTTCCGTGTTTGGATTCGACTTGAGTTGACGTTTTTCTGGAGAGTGTGAGAGTGTTGTTTGTCTTGGCTATTTTTGCTTTGGTATTAATCTGCAAGTTAAGCTCGTAATTAACAGTTTGTTTATTCACTAATCATGGTTGCTTTTACCACAGTTTTATTAATTTGGTTGAAATTGATGAACTCATTTTTTTATGATAATTTTCATTTGGTTTGCCACAGGGGTTTGATGGACAGACAACAATGTCTCTCTCATTCGATGTGTCCATCACCTCTTGTGGTTTGTGTTTCTGTTCTTATTTGTTTATATTTATTCTATAATTTGTAATTATTGATCTTGCTGCATGCATGATGCATTATTTTGCTTCTCATTTTAATCCCATCGTGCAAGTCTTCATTCCTTGGACAATTGAATTAGCTCTAATAATTTTTTTTTTTTTGCTTTAACTCCCTTGACAACTGTTAATGTTAGTGAGACTTCAAGATCAAATTCTATAATAAGTCCCGAAACAACATCAAGTTTGAAGTGTTTTTTACCATGAAACCCTAAAACCGTGTTTAAAGTGTTATCGTGAAAGGGAACGACCCTAATTTTTCCTTCTTCAGTTTCATTGTTTCTCCCCCGTTGTGATTGGGGAACACATCAGATACCACACAAAAACAATGAACATGGGCAATGACTTATTTTTACTTCCCTTTCTGGGTTGAACTGAGTACAAATGCAATGACTAAATGAGGCATTGCTTTGGGGCCTAATCTTATACACAACGATCAGAATACTCTCTCGAACAGTACTTTGGTAAGGTGGCCATTGATTGTTCCAGGATCCGAGCATGCAGAGTAGTAAAAGCTCCTTGCAACCGCGAAAAAGGTTTGCTTGATCGAAGATTCTATGGCACCATCCAAGGGCTTTTGCAGCACCATTTGCACAAGCTGCTGCATCTCCGGTTCGATTTCCTGAGTTGTCTTCATGTAGCTGCCGTTTTCATTCACCTGAGAAAATAAAAGAGAAAAAAATATATATAAAAACAGCCTGATAACATAAAACGTGGAGAAAGGAGCCAACCCTAATGCAGAAATAGGTTTAATTTTCTGACCTTATGGTTTTGGTTTTGGTAGCAGCGAAGTTTGTTACAAACTTTGTTGGTGATCTTGAAAAGTTGCTCATGCTCTGGACTGGACAACAACAGCCCGTCTGAAGGCAAAAGGCCGGCGGTTTGATTTATCATTTCGACCAGCAACTCGGCTTCATCTTGGTGCACATCTCCTTTCTCTTGCCACTTCAGAAGCCACTTTTCCCACTGCATTTTGATTAAGGAAAAAACAGAAGAAAAAAAAATCAAAATTAAACTTTTAGCTAGGGATCAGTAGAAATGTTTAATTTCTATAGTTGGGTAATGCACATAGAGATTTGGCTGCCAAACAAGGCCTAAAAAATATGGATGTTTTGCTAGAAACTCACAGCTTGGCGTAGAGGGTGGCTGATGTCTTGGCCATGCGCCACCATGGCGTCCAACGAGAGGCAGTGTAGGGTTGTCAGCAAGGTCTCAATGAGTCCCTGCCCTTTCTTGTTGGTATTCATCTTCCTGTAGCACAAGCCACATATAAATCTGCCTCATCCAAAATGCCTAAAACTCTTCCGCGACGACGGAAAATACAAGGGTCGTTATTCTATGTACGCAATTATTCCTTCTAGACAAACAACAATTTAATACGCAAAAATAGCGAAGTAGTATTTCTCGACAACAACCATAGTGGGTATCAGTAGCTTCCATCATGTGATGCAGAAAGTAAAAATTGGTAACATGGATGGTGTGCATTATTACCTAGATCTAAATCTTGGGACTTCCCACTTTTGAGTAGATTATTTGGTGCTTTGTATGACACTATTATCTGGTCAAAGATTTGTCTGTGTGTACCTAGTAGCCTTTTGTTGGGTACCCTAGCAATGGAGAGATTTTTCAGTGTGACCGTTATACGGGATGTTACACCACGTGTCACTATACAAATAGTAGGATATGTGTGCTAAAAAGTTAATAACTTAAAATATAAAATTTCCCATCATTCCTATTAAAACACGTGGTGTACCACTTGTGTTCCCGTCACAACTAAAAATTTCTCCTAGCAATGAACCCTACTTGTGGAATTGGCACAAATGTGTCTGGCCGATGAATAAGACACCAAGAGACCGAACAACAATTGTATAACATTCACGTACCTAATTTTGAATTCATGTACAAAGGCCTTCCTTTGCTCAGAAGTTCCTTCTCTGAAATGAGACCCAATTGTCTCAATTAACGACGTCGTTTTAGCCCATGCAAGTCGTTCGTTGGCTCTTTCCGGCTCGAAAATACTCGATGCCGCAACAAAATAAGCCATGAGGAGGCTTCTTGTGCTCAATCCATAGTTTTCAAGTTTACATTCTGCGTACCACCTGCATATATATGTCGTAATTTAATATTGTATACAAGTTAAAAAATCAAGTTCCAAAAATTAATAATAATTTTCTATTCATAAATATAATATATTAGGTTTTATACTTTTGAATGCTGTCCCATTCGATCAGATGCAGTGCTTGGCAATTGTTGTAATCCAGTTTTGCCAGGTCGAGATACAAATTGTTGTTTACGTAAGGCATCCTAGAACCAAACAAGTCGTTAGATTCCAAGTTCAAATTATTAGAAAATATCAAATAATTAATTGAAATAATTAGTTAATAATTAACTATTCATTCGGGTGGTCCTATATGCTGTCCCCTTACGGGGCCATATCTTCTGTTTGATTAATTAAATAATGCAAACAAAAATACGACAAATGATTGGAATCTCTCAAAAGCGAGGGTTGGGGAACGTCCACCGTACAAAATACAAACTACAAATAAATAAAATACCTGTAGAGAGTCTTGCCAATCCAGACGTCATCACGGCCACCGTACTGTTGGATGTAGAATCTCGTCTCAAGCCGAGGTAAGCTCGCATACCATGGAACATCTAGTGCGTACCCAACCTGTTGGGTTTGCCCTCTCTTTAGAATATTCTTATTATATTTTTGGAGAGTACAATAAGACACGTATAAATCTTAGTAAAAAGACAAATCGCAGTTGTAATCTGATTTACCCTTTCGCGATCTCTGAAGACAATTGGTATGATGGTTTCATCGCAACGTAATGTTATTATTTTTCGTATATTTTTATATTCTAAAATATACTCTAATATGAGTAAGACGACAATCTTAATGTAACAAGAGTATAATATCAACTCTTTTTTTTTCTGACCCTTTCTCTTTAGAATACTCTTATTTATTTTTGGAAAGTACGATTTATGGAACATACGTATATGTATACTCTTTCGCGATCTAGATTTAAAGGAAGTTTGTGATAGCAATATGTGACATTACAAATTTTATAGTATAATATAAACAGACAACAAGTTTAATATTTACTGTCAGTAATGTAACTAGAGTATAACATGAATAAAAAGTTTTGTGTTAACACGAGTAAATTGGTCGCATATACATCATAAAAATATGACCTTAATGGAAAATTGCTTGGCATCTTATTGATTTCTACTGAAAAGTAAGATTGGAATTTTACCCGAAATTGAAATGAAAAGACTGAAACGCCCCTCTATTGCTCTCATTAAAAATGAACTAATATGGAAAATTGATGTTTTATATATACCTCGCCGGGCAAGTCCTTCGTGATGATCCATTTGTCCAGCAGCTCATTAGAAGCTTGTTTTTCCCTCAGAAATTTGGTTGAAAAGTCCTTAGCTTCCTCAAGGATTGTCTCTCCCGGGAACATCACCTGACTAGCCCTAAGCAAGTTGTACATTCCAGTCACAGCTTGTGTGGATTGCCCAGCAAAGCAGATGAATTCATTGCCCTTCTTGAAATGCTTAAACACATCTGTCCTCATTACCAAATTAGGTGATTAACAAGATTTGTTAACTAAACCAACGAAAGTAGAAACATATATACCTTTACCTATGCATGCAGATTGTTACAGTAATATTACTACATATGGCGTAACAAAACTTACCAGGAGACACTTGGTGGCCATGCAACCTGAGTAGTCTGAATGCCATGGCTGTGTCATCAATATCCTGAACCTCCGAATTTCTTGCCCAACAAATTCCTTTCTCAGTCCAATATCTATCACAGAAAATATATTTGTTAATTTTATTTATACGCTACGCGACAATGCGACAGTAAAGCTGAAAAATTAGTCGAATGTAAGTTGTCGAGCGTACCTGCTTACGTAATTAATACATTCCTTAAGCTGCGGCTTGAAATACCTAGAGATTCCCAAGCGCTGCAGACGATCCACAACCCATACGTGTTCGAACAAGTCAACTGGGTATACATTAGGTACTGAAATAAAATAGAAGAAGGTAATTAGGGTCATCATTCGGCTCGAGAGGCCAACTTTGGTCAGCGAAGTCACAAATGGCATGCATGATGTTAAACTGTTAAACAGATTTTCGGATAATACTATTTATTTATACGCAAAACTCACACACTTGCTTACCTCCGCCGTTGAACTTGTGAACAGCTTTGGACAAATAATTCATGCAGTTGGGGTTTTTGGTTTGCATTAGTGCATAGGCAGTGGAGGCTGGGGAGAACAAGAAAGAGCCGTCTTGGGACTGCAGTTTTAGAAGCTTTTCCCAGTCCAAACCTGCCATTCCTTCCAAGCTGTGGAGAAGTGTTGTGGGCACTTTGTGCATTATTTCCCTCGGTATCCTATCCCCCATACATGCGCACACCCAGGATTAATAATTACACCATGTACAAAAGTTCACAGACACCCAGCAGACCAAATTATAATATATCCACAGCGGATAAGGTTTCTTTATAATTAATTTGAAAAATAACAAACTTAAAAATTCCAAAAGTTTATGAGACTTGTATACTATGTACCTTGTGAGCTTTAGATCTCTCATGGCGTAAATCTCATGCAACACAGCACAATCATCAGGCACCTCCAGGTTTAAACTCCTAGCCATTTCGAGAACCGAAGGAAAAGCTACTTCGAACCCGATCGGCATGTGTTCGGCATTCTCGTTGCCAAGCTTGCTTATGTTCTCCTTGAAATACGTCATTCCTACGTGTGCATCGGCCAAAAACAAAATACGGTCACAGTGGATAACTAAACGCTAGCTTTTCATTTTAGGTAAACAGTGGCAGAGATGGTATTTCATCATTATGACCCAAAAATGACCGGATAAGATTCCAAATCAGTCGTTAGCGCTGTATTGACTTATTGACCGGTTAGTTAGCGGTTACCTTTTTCACACTTGTCAGGATGAACGTTCCATGATTTGAGTGCGACAACGCAAGCTATGGTGTTGATGATGCGATCATGAGCAGTGATGATCTCACTATCTCCCCAAGAACCATCTGGGAGTTGGTTGTTGGCAATCCATTGGAGGCTGGATGGGAACTGTGGCAAGCCACTGCCTTCGACATCCTCCACTAACGCCACCCAAGCGGTGTCGTACGCCGAAATCGTAATCTCTCCGTCATCCATCGACTCCACCATCGATGTGATGGTCTCCACATGTTGCTTGATCTTATTAATTTGTCCAAAATCCTTTCTCAAAACAAAAAGGAAAAATCAGAAAAATAGAAGAAAAAAATTGAAGTTGATAGAAAGGTAAAATATTGTTGGAAGTAGAAATGTAGTTTTGTTAGTACCGCAGGAGCTTCGTCTCCTTCTATGTCATCCTCCACAATCTCATGCCACTTTATCACTGGCAGACCATTTTGCAACACGTCTGCATATTCTGATCGTACATATATAATGATATATAAAACTGTATGCATATATTTACGAAGCAACCACAGTAAAAAGTAAAAAAAGTAAGAAAAGAAAGAAATAATAGAAGTATAAAAGAATACTAGAGCATGATCACCTTGAGTACGGGATTTGGAAACCGCACTGCATTTGGATCGAAAATCTCTTTTGTCATTAGCACCAAATAGCCAAACACCTGTAAGGAAAGGTGGTAAAAATTTAATTACTGTAACGGAAATAACATTAATTGGATAAATGAAATTTAATTACTGTGACGTAAATCACGTAAATCGGACAAAGACAAAGGTCTAATGCAAAGAAACGGTCGCAGAGAGTATGTGGCAGTTGCTTGCATGGTGAGATATACGAGGTTTTGCCAAATACAGAGGAGAATCCAAGACAGCACACCTCAAGCCATGGAAGTTCAAGAAAAAGAAGACACAGAAAAGAAGAAGACAGCTTTTAGCTATCTCTAAAGAGAAGATCGTATTCAAGAACAGAGTCTAATACAACAAAATAATATATGAGAGAAGTTCATAACTACTATTAGCAAGATTTTTTGTGATAAAACACCAAACTATTAAAACTCAAAAATATGATCGGAATTTGAGAAGATCTTCCTCTGCATGCAAGCCCTGAAACAAAGAAAGTTCAACCAGTTTTTTCTTGAATTTTCTGGGGAACCAAACTTACATGCAAGAAAATGGGAAAGAAAATGAAAAGAAAACGATGAGAAAACAAGATCGATCGGAACAACCAGAGATCGACAATCTTGTAGATGTTTAAATAAAACCCAGTAGGGAATTTAAAAGAAAACAAGGTAAAAAGTGATCATATGGCTGAGAGAAGGGGTAGAAATAGAAAAGGTCTGGAAGTATTATTCTAACTTTTTTTTTCTCTGTAGGGAAAAAAGAAAGCAAAGAAGTGTGGGTCGGAGAGAAACTTAAAAAACAATATAATAGATTATGTAAAAAAAGAAAAGTTTTGGGAACTCACCCGATAAATATTTTGGTTGATTAAAGGCAGAGAAGGATGAGGTGGTGGGTCGAAGAGTTAGAGGAGGCGCAGAGAGAAAAAGTTGGGTGGAATGAGAAGACATGATGATGGTGGGGAAAAACTGTGGTTTGCTGCCTGGAGGAAGTAGAAGTAGTGAAAATATGATAGAGAAAGAGAGAGAGGAAGAGGACAGGAAGAGGCTTCCCAAGAGATTCCTGCTAGGAGGAAGGTATCATCCACATCCAAGAGAAATATGGAATTGAGGGCAGTACTGCCCCTTTACTTTATTTAGGTCGTATCAAATTTAGAAAATGTTTGGTCACATAAAACTTCATATGGGGGAGATTTATTAAGACGGGAATGTATCATAGAGTTTGTATTTTTTGGGGAAATAAATACCAGAAATTACCTGAAATTTCCAATTGGTTCAATGAATATTATCCACCATTAATTCATGAACAGTCACATTTGGATGAATATACCGGAAAATTACATAGATTCCAAAGATTCATTTCACCTGGTCAATTTTAAACAGTGTATATAAAAAGAAGGCTAAAAAAGTGAAGCTTTCATAATATTCAAATTGCTCCTCTTATTAAAATTTCATTAAAAAAATAATATAAAAAAACTATGGAGAATGGTTAATAAATTTATTATTATTATTTTAAAATATATTTTAGTAAAAATAATAATATCTAAGATAATAAAAAAATTTAAAACAAGAAAAGTAAAAAATAAAAAAGAGCAAGCGTGTGGCAATTGAGGCTAGAAAAAACATTGTATAATGCCTAGTCGATTTTAAATAGTATCTAATTAATCATAAATAACGTATATGGTATATCTCGTATGACCCAAGAAAAAAACATTGTAACTACTCTAATGCTGTTTTATATATTCTCTCGTAAATATGGCAACATAATTTGCATCTATTTTCTCATAAATATGGCAAGAACATAATTTGCATAACCACATGAATCCTCCTTGATTTCAATAAGTTTAAAGATAAAGAAACATGTGAAACATAAATTTGGAGAGCATGGACCAACATTTTTGCCTCATAAGAAAAATGTGAAACATAAAGAAACATTATTAATACGCAATCATATATAGTATATAAAAATACACAAACCTTACTCCACGATGTTAAAGATTAAGAGAAAACTAGTACTGGAGTTGGCACGAATGGATGAAAAAAACATGGATATGGGCTTGTCCATCTTTCCCTTTCATGGCTCCTAATTGCAAAGCATATCATGGAAAGAAATTTTGTTTTCAACGTTATATGGAGATCTTGTTATTCCAATTTTATAACAATTAGTAGCCATATTTTATAAAATCAAAACAAAAGAAATAAAAATACCTACCATATGAAGGCATATATTATATATGCAGCTAAGATATTATTGTTTGTTTGAATTTCAAATGAGGCAGAAAAATATGTGGATGGGGTATTATAGGAAAAGAAAAGAACCATAAAACGTTATAAAAACAAATAAAATATGAGATGGAATATGCATGCTGACATGGACATGAGGTTAAGGGATTGAATTTAATTTTTAATTTAAAAAGTTGGTCTACGTAATTAGCATTTTTTTTATTTGTGTTCTGTTAGGTCCCACCACCCTCATTTAACTAAGGATGAAATTTTTTATCAAATTATTGTTGAAAATGTGCCCTAAAACCAATCATATGATGATACTTTACGGACATTTCACATGTTAAACTAATCTAGTTTAATATAAAGGGCAAAGATTATTGTTTTAAGCTGTCTCATATAAATGTTATATGCTTAAACAATAAGTCCAAGGAATATGCAATTGTGAGAATGTGATCTAAAGAAGTTAGATACATGAGATCATTCTCTTTTGTATACATATTCTAAACGTTCTTGATCATAGGATTGCCAATTGGGCATTGACAGTTCGTTAAGATCAGTACGTGCTATGTCTTCTCTTAGGGAGTGATTGGTCTCGAGTCATTGGTGTGACTGACACCAAGACATGTATGTAGGTGCTCAATAAAGAATGAGTCCACTGAAAACGATCAACGAGGAGTTCTCATACTCATGTCACATGAGAACTCATGGTTGGGATAATGCAAAATAGTTCTTTGACCTGAGGCATCATAGTTGTCTTGTGGTTAGGTCCTTGATCTTTGACTATGTCAAAGTCAGCCCATCAGAAGGTGTCCACGACATAGTTGAGGTTAAGCCACTTAGCCATGGAGGTAAGTGAATGCGCAACAAGGAATCTCTAACCTTCAAACCGTTTGAGGGAGAATACTTTATGATATGATTAAGAATCTCTAGCCAGAGTTTGAATGAGATTTAGGAAGTCGTTCCAAATCACATTCAAGGTAATCATATAAGTAAGAGAATCACATTGGATAGTAGACATGAATAAACTATCAAACCAAACAATATGGTCAAGAGTATTGTATTAGAGAAATACCGTATTGCATTGTAATCCTAAACTTAATAGGTTCTCCACCTTTTCTGATTAGCTTAGGCAGCCATGATATACTTTAGGTGTCACTCATGGTTTGTGCAAGCCCTAAAGGTGAATAATCGCTAAAGGGAGAATTGAAAGTATGTTTCAATTCACAATCGATTGTTAAAAGTAACAATTATGTTTCAATTCACAATCGATTGTTAAAAGTAACAATCGCCCACTGCCTTACTAAAAGGAACTTAATGGATCGTACACCGAGTAAGGTAGAAATTGAAGAAACAACGGAGATGAGTAAGGATAATTAAATGGTTAATTATTTTTTGGCTAGGATTAATTAGTATGCTAATTAATCAAATGAATATGTTCGTTATAAACCTCGGGTTAGTTTTGGGCCACAAGGCCCAATGAGATTTGAATGTCAAGCCCATTAACTCAAGTTGTATGACAACTTGAAAACACAAAGGGCTTGAAAGCCCAATGAACCCTTAAGGCCGGCCATATAGAGAAGGGTAGTGAACTTGCCTTAATTGTAAGTTTGCCACTCCATTGTGAGGTGGTATAAATGCAACTTTTATAGCCATTTCAATCATTTAGGGTTTTTCTTTGTAAGAAAATTGTTTGAGATGAACACCAAACTCTAACCCTTTACTCATCTAAGATGTTTTGCCAGCCACCCCTAGAGTTTTGAACATAGCTAGCAATCTTTTTAAAACATTCTTCTTTTCATGGTCACTCATCTCCTCATCAATCACTAACCTTGCATCATCATCATCATTCCCACCACCACAGTTACCACCGTTGCCCCCACGACAAGTCACCACGACCACCACCACAGCTGTCATTACCACCGCCACCGCCAGTCATTACCATCGCCATAATTGTGAATTGGAGCTTTCTGGACATGAATTGTTCACCACATGAATGCATAGAGAGTTGGATAACTAATACTTGAGGGTACTGACTAGCCTCGTAACCTTATTTTGTTTTGAGTGCATTAACCAGGTATATACACCTTTCTTTAGTGCAAATAACGTTATAATTGATATGTCATGCACACAAGGTTTATATAAATAAATAAAACATTGTATTATAAGTTATAACATAAAAAGATTGATACCACTACAAATCACACCCAAAACTTAATTCAATCTTAGACCTAGTTGAGAATGCGACGTGGGTTCGAGATATGCTTGACCAAACTCGAGCTGTAAGCACTAAGCAGGAGGTTTCTTTCAACTTGTACTTGTCATGTTTTCTGAAGTCATACGGTTGTAGCCAATGCATGTCAATCAGAGTAGTAAGTCTTGGCCCCATGGAGTGGGGTGTAAAATCATACCTTCCGACAGGTTAAGTTCCAAAAGGCAATAAATCCTTCTATACAGAACCAACAATGTATCTATTCTTGGTACCTCAACTCACGAAAAATTATTGTTGTTTCCAACTTTTTTTATTTGTTATTATTATAGTAGGTATAGAATAATTATCTAAATTCACTATATAATTTAGGGATTATTTAGAAGGGCTTTTAAAATGACTAAAAGTGATTTTGGTGAAAATGTGTTTGGAATCAATCCTTAGTAAAAAGGCAAGTGAATCCTGAAAAGCACTTGAAGTGCTTTTAGAACCAAAAAACATTTTTTCTAAAACGTTTTCAGTCATTTTAAAAGTACTTCTAAATTAGTCATAAATAGTGGATTATACTTCTCTCATTTCTTTCTAGGGTAAATGTTGGGGAGGCATGTGTTTAAACCATATTTCGTAAACCATATGTAATTGCTGATAATTGAATTATTATTTAATTGTTGATTAACGTGATCATTTCTTATTGGTGGCACGTCACATGATTTACATATTTGATCGAAAAATTTGGTCTACTTATAGCATTATCCCTCCAATAAATAGGGAAGTCATCTTTCTCATTTAATGTGATATTATTTAACTGTACAAACGTCATAGTCGCAAATATTAATTATCTTTATTATTTATTATTATATAAAATTATCATTAAAAATATTATATTTAAAGATCATTTATATATCCAATACAAGTATCAAACAAATAGATGATTATGTAATTAGTATCATCCTCATGATGAATTTTCAATTATTATTTCTTATTTATTAGAATGATTAAACGGCATCCAAACCGATGAAATCATCCTCATGATGAATTTTCAATTATTATTTTTTATTTATTAGAATGATTAAACGGCATCCAAACCGATGAACTATTTTAAAGATACCTTCAGATGATGATAAAGAGAATATCATTTTCGATTATGATGTTTTTACGGTGAAATGATGTCATGTTATGAAAGTGAGAAAATATTGTAATTATTAGATACATTAAGGCATTGTCTTTTTATGAGAGATGCATTAAGCTTTGTTTAAGGACGTCTAATTAGTCAGTAACATAAATGAATAATTGATCACTTCCTTTGGGCGAGGTCAGATCCAGGGAGGAAAGAATTCAAAGCTTCGCAAGTCAGGCAGCAAGTAGATCACAAGATTTGACTTATGTCAAATGAGAAGTGAAAGATTATTAGGTTTTGTTTTATACGTTTGTTTCCTGCACAGAATCCCATTCGTTTATGAGGATGAATATGCTTCTTTCCTTTTCTTTATTAATTTTCTTAAAAAAAACAATCACAAACAACAAAAGAATTTTAACTTAGGAACGAAATATGAATAAATAAGTGTATACTTGTATTAAAATATAGTTACTAAAGAAAGTGCGTTCTACCATAAAATTAATTGGTAAAATGGAGAGTAGTCTTATCACTTATAAGCATATGATGTGCTGC